TTAAATTCCAGTGAAATATATTTATGTTTGTGGTTGTAATGTGACAAAATATGGAAAAGTTCAAGGGGTATGAATACTTTTGCAAACCACTGTACATGACGAGCACAGAAGTCCAATTAAAAAAACACAGCTCGGGTTCAGATCAGAGGGGCTGTTCCTCCCAACCACACCCCTCCAGGTCTCACTGTCATTGCCCATGTGAGCGTTAAAGTCCCCCAGCAAGACGAGGGAGTCCCCATCATGAGCGCTCTCAGCACCCCCTCCAAGGACTCCAAAAAAGATGGGTAATCTGAACTGCTGTTCAGCTCATAGGCACAAACAACAGTCAGAACTCGTCCCCCCACCCATAGGCAGAGGGAGGCTACCCTGTTGTTCACCGGGGTGAACCCCAACATACAGGCACCAAGATGGGGGGCAATACGTATGCCCACTCCTGCTCGGCACTTCTCAGTATGGGCAAATCCAGAGTGGAAGAGTGTTCAACCCCTCTCGGGGAGACTGGTTCCAGAGCCAGTGCTGTGCATTGAGGTGAGTCCAACTATATCTGGTCAGGACGTCTCAACCTCACACACCAGCTCAGGCTCCTTCCCCACCAGAGAGGTGACATTCCACATCCCTAGATTCAGCTTCTGTAGCCAAGGATCGGACCACCAGGGTCCTCGCCTTCGACCACTGCCCGTTGCACCCAACCCCTATGGCCCCTCCGACAGGTGTTGAACCCATGAGAAGGGGGACCCACATCTACTCTTTGGGCTGTGCCCGGCCGGGCTCCATGGGTGAAAGCCCGGCCACCAGGTGCTCGCCATCGTGCCCCACCTCCAGGCCTGGCTCCAGAGTGGGACCCTGGTGACCCGCATCCAGGCGAGGGAACACTGAATCCATCACTGGGATAAGGGATCTTTGGGCTGCACTTTGTCTAATCCCTCACCTAGGACCTGTTTGCCTTGGGTGACCCTACAAGGGGCATGAATCCCCTCACAACATAGCTCCCAGGGCCATTGGGACACTCAAACCTCTCCACCACAATAAGGTGGCAGCCCAGGGAAAGGACTATTTGGACTTTTTTTTTAATTTAAATGAACAAACCTTTGACCTGAAATAAATGGACATTACTGAAAATAATTCCTAGTTTTTTGTTTTGTTTCTGCAGTTTTTTCCAGGATGGACTGAAAGCCGTGGAGAATCTGAAACCATCTATGGAGAAACTGGTGACGGACCTGACTGCGGTGAGATGCTGACAGATTTATTAAACCTTAGCGGTAATGGTTTATTCATGCGTCAGAATGATTGATTGTTTGTGTTCAGATCAAACAGATTCAGGATGGAGAGAAGAAGCAGCTGACTCAGCTTAAAGATGTCCTGAAGGCATCGCTGCAGTCGGAGCAGAAAGAGGTGAAAAACTCAAAATTATTAAAAAACTGTTCACTGAAATCTACAGTTCCTTTTTTGAAAATGAAGCAATATAATTAAAATTTGTCAAAATGTTTCTAATTCTTTATAGCACTGTACACCTTTTGTTCTGGTTCTGCTCCTTTTAACTTCCTTGTCTAATTTTAGCTACCTTTTTGCTAATTTTAGCTTTTTTTTCTGCTATTTCAACTATAATTCTGCTCCTTTCTGCTATTATTCTATTTTCTTCTTTCTTGCATCCTTTTATGCTAATTTGAGCTATTTCTGCTTCTTGTGGTTGCTTTCTGCTATATTCAGCTATTTGCTGCAATTTTAGCTAATGTTAAATTAAGTTTTTAACCTAATTTCACATTTTTGTGGATATTTCAGATTCTTTCTGCTTATTTCAACAAACTTGTGCTCCTTATACCTCCTTATTTTTGTTTAGGCATTTCCAGCTACATTTTATCTGTTTTGTTTCACATTTTGGTTGTTTTAGCTCTTTTACAACAAATGATCACTTATATACATCTTATACATTTTTATACCCTTTTCACCATATGGATGCTAATTTATCGTGTGTCTGCTACCTTTAGCTTGTTTTAGGCTAATTTTAGCTTTTTCTGCTATTTCAGCTGCTCCTTTCTGCTATTCTTCTGCTATTTTTGTGCTTCTTTCTGCTAATTTGAGCTATTTCTGTTTCTTACAGTTGCTTTCTGCTATATTCAGCTATTTGCAATTTTAGCTACTGTTAAGCTTTTATTAGCTAAAGTTAGCTTTTTAAAGCTAATTTCACATTTTGGTGACTATTTCAGCATCTTTCTGTTTAGTTCAGCAAACCTGTGCTCCTTATGCTTCTTTATTCTTGTTTAGGAAATTCCAGCTATATTTTAGCTGTTTTACTGCCCAAGTTTGGCTGTTCTAGCTATTTTACAACAAAGTGTCACTTTTTTGTAATTTTGTGCTTTTTTTGTGCACTCTTTTGATCTGGTGTTAATTCAACTTTTTTCTGCTAACTTTGTTTTTATGTTAATTTTTGTATTTTTCTGCAATTTCTTATATGATTCTTCTTTTCTGTTAAATTCTTAATTTTGTGCTTTTTTCTTCTAATTAAAGCATTTTTTACTTCTTTTAGTTGTATTCTGCTGTTTTCAGATGCTTTCTGTATCTTGGCTACTGTTTTGCTGTTTATTGCTAAATTTAGCTTTTGCAAGCTAAATACACATTAGGGCGGGTTTTAAGCAGATTTCAGCAAAAACAAAAGAAAACCCCAGTCCATTTAATTTTTTTTTGCTAATATCTGCATGTTAGGCTACATTTCAGCTGTTTTACTGGACATTTTGGCTGTTCTAGCTATTTTACAACAAAGTGTCACTTTTTGTAATTTTGTGCTTTTTTTGTGCACTCTTTTGATCTGTTGTTAATTCGACATTTTTCTGCAAAATTTATCTTGTTTTTATGTTAGTTTTTGTATTTTTTCCTGCAATTTCGTCTATGATTCTTCTTTTCTGCTAATTTCTTAATTTTGTGCTTTTTTTCTGCTAATTAAAGCTTTTTTTTCTTCTTTTAGTTGTATTCTGCTGTTTTCAGATGCTTTCTGTAGCTTGGCTACTGTTTGGCTGTTTATCGCTAAATTTAGCTTTTGCAAGCTAAATACACATAAGGGTGGGTTTTTAAGCAAACTTCAGCAAAAACAAAAGAAAAACCCAGTCCATTTTATTTATTTATTTATTTTGCTAATATCTGCATGTTAGGCTACATTTCAGCTGTTTTACTGGACATTTTGGCTGTTTTAGCTATTTTACAACAAATTTTCACTTTTTTTGCACTTCTATGGTTTTTTTCCTGCTGATTTGACAATTCTTTACACTCCTTTCACCATCTGGGTGGTAATTTTAATGTTTGTCTACCTTTAGCTTGTTTTATGCAAATTTTTGCTTTTTTCTCCTGTTTCAGCTATATTTCTCTCTTTTCTACTGTTTTTCTGCAGAGTTAATCTTTTTTTGCTTCTTTCAGCTTTTCAAAACTAACTGGCATTAACAGTTTTACTATTAAACTATATCAGCTCCATTTCAGCAGCTTTCAGCTGAAGTTTTCAGCAATAAGCATTCACACTAGCATTTTTGCAAGAAATGCAATTTCTCTAGTTTAAGATGTGATTTAATTTCAGGACTCTCAGGCGAAGCAGAGCTCCGGCTACAGTCTCCATCAGCTGCAGGGAGACAAGGCCTGTGGCACAGAACGCACCGGAGTCCTCTACAAGAGGAGTGAGGGGTGAGTGGACTCAGTGTCCCAGAATGCAACAGGAAATGAGTCCAGCTTAATGTTGGTTTCTACCTGTTCCTCACCTGTCTCCTCAGGTTGAGGAAGGTGTGGCAGAAAAGAAAGTGTTCTGTTAAAAACGGCCTCCTGACCATCTGCCACGGCACGGTAAGACCTAAAGTCCTGAGCTCAAACTGAACATTAGATCAATTAGATCTGAACAAAGTTTAAAATAATCAGAATTCTTAAAGGGATCCCCGATTAGTTGTAACATTAAACTTTATTTGATAAACATATATTTTAACTGTAAAATAAAGACTGTAAAAATACTGTAGGATGTTTAGTTGTATAAATTTTTAAAAATATATTTTAACATGGACGGAGCCATTTAATTTACAAACAAAGCATTCTGGGTAAATGATAACGTGGATAGGTCCTCGGTGCGAGGCTGCTAGCGAGCTATATCCACCCTGAAGGTTAATCTTGGACAATATCTGATGATCGACTCTTAAATGAAACCAGAGAGCGTTGACAGAGAGGAGAAGGTAGAAATGACTCAGCCTGGAACTGAAAATATGGATGGAGGACAACAGAGCTGCTTCATGGAAGAAGAACCCCAGCTTAGCCTGTTAGCTTTAGCGTTAGCACCAACGCTATATTGCCTCATATGTATTAGATCAGTGCTAGCGCGACAAACAAGCTAAACTGAGGTCCTCCATCCATATTTTTAGTTGCAGCTGAGTCATGTTTGTGTTCCCCTCTCTGTCATGTGGATGGAGGACCTCAGTGACGAGAGGAGAATGTGTAGCGCTGAGCTAATACATATATATGGTGATAGTGTCGGGGCTAATGCTAAAGCTAACAGGCTAAGCTGAGGTTCTTCTTCCATGAAGCAGCTCTGTTGTCCTCCATCCATATTTTCAGTTCCAGGCTGAGTCATTTCTACCTTCTCCTCTCTSTCAACGCTCTCTGRTTTCATTTAAAAGAGYCRATCRTCAGATATTGTCCAAGATTAACCTTCARGGTGGATATAGCTCGCTAGCAGCCTCGCACCGAGGACCTATCCACGTCATCATTTACCCAGAATGCTTTGCGTGTAAGTAAAATGGCCCCATCCGTGTAATATATTTTTAAATTTTTAGTTTAAAAATGATAAAAACTAAACAGCCTACAGTATTTTTACTGTCTTTTACAGTTAAAATATATATTTATTAAATAAAGTCTAATGTTACAACTAATCATGGATCCCTTTAACAGTTTATCCAGGGTTTAGAATCAATTTTTGTCAGAAACTTTGTAGTTAAATGTAATAAAGCTATTATTTTTGTATGTAGCTGTTGGTTAAAATGTTAAAACGTTACATTCTGTTTTTGTTTTGAAGGCGAACAAACCTCCAGCCAAGCTCAACCTACTCACCTGCCAGGTGAAGAGGAATCCAGACGACAAGAAAAGCTTCGACCTGTTTTCTCGTACGCATCCTCCTATAAATCAAAACTTTCTGTTTTCAGTTTAAATCGGAACCAATAATTAATCATTTTCTCCTCCAGATGACAGAACCTACCACTTCCAGGCCGAGGATGAGGGGGAGTGTCAGACGTGAGTACCTGTGTGGGGGGGGGCGTGGCCTGGGCTGCCGGCGTGGCCGTTTGTTCTGACGGCTGTTTTCCTGTTGCAGCTGGGTGTCGGTGCTGCAGAACAGCAAGGAGGAGGCGCTGAACAAGGCCTTTAAAGGAGGTCAGGACGAAGGAGAGAACAACATCGTGCAGGAGCTGACCAAAGCCATCGTGGGGGAGGTGAGGCGGATGAGCGGCAACGACAGCTGCTGCGACTGCGGCGCTGCAGGTTCGTCACAAACTCACGGGTTGTGTTCATGTTTCAGGTTAGCTTCCCCTCCTCAGTCAGTCAACTAGTCTTCATCAGTCAAAAACTTTTAAAACTTCAATCTCCTGAAAACACCTGCCCTCTGGTAGCTTCCATATAAACTGAAGGTTTGTGAAAAATGATGTAAAATCTGTTGATTCTTTAGCTGTTTGTCAGAAGTTCAGCTGCAGCTGAGATTCAATTCAATTTATTTATATAGCGCCGAGTCACAACATACGTTGTCTCAGGGCACTGTACATGAAAAGAATAATGTAAAGAAGAAACCAGCAGATTGTGTTGAATCACTTCATCACAGTCTCCCATCCTGAGCAAACGGTGGAGAGGAAAAACTCCCTGCTAATCAGGAAGAAACCTCCAGCAGAACCAGGCTCAGGACAGGAGACCATCTGCCTTGACCGGATTTATTCATTTATTTTTGCTTAAATCCCCTTTATCAAAGAGTAGAGCTCTGTTGGAGTAAAACGCATTACAGGCAAACTTAAATACAATAATAATGTGGAAATGATTGGCACTTGCCTCCTAGACAGGGGCGGTTCTAGGGGCGGGGCCACAGGGGCATTGGCCCTTGCTGAAATTTGATTGGCCCCCTGAAGTGCCTCTGTTCTATCACTCATCTGCCCTTTGCCCAAGAATGATAAAGCTGTGTGCAGTTCCACGTCCAAACCC